TTGTGGGGTGGGAGGACGAACGAACGAAGAAAGACTTAGTTAGGTAGGTAGTATTAGTAGACAGACGTATATATATATATATATATATATATATATATGCACATATGAATATATATATATAGAATGGACGAGATGTATGTGGTATTCTGTATATTTATAATAGACGGGATGTATGTACATGTGCAAAGTGGATCGGTCTGAGTTACGACTATAGGTGGTTGTATGCAAGCCGTGAGGCGATGTGGAGAGCGGATGTAAGTAGTTCTGTATTCATGTCGTCGTAAACAAACAGATGATAGCGATGATCAGCTGACGTGAACAAGAGATGGAGGTGACCCCAATGCCAATACATATAACCAGTGCTACACCAACTCTTCATTCCGCCTATGTAACCAACATCATACAAACCCACTTAGTCTCCATTCCCTCACTGACGCACCCAGCGCATCACCTGCATGTACCACTCCCATACCTGTCACCGCTACCCCTGACAGGCACAACAGGGGTGTCCCTGTGTCCTGTATCGCCATCGTCATCCAACAGCTCTCCATCGTCCACTTCCATAATCTCCGCATCCTCCAGTGCGTCCTGTCTTCTCTGCTCTTGGTCCCATGTGTCTTCCCTGTCCTGTTTCTGCGCGTTTGGGGCCTCTTTGTCCTCATCGGCTTGATCTGGTGCACCTCGTCCCTGCGTATCGGCTTTCTCCTCTTGGTCTTCCTCGAATGCGTCCGGATGTATTTCAATCTCAATCGCATCATCTACATTTTCATCTGCATCATCTATATTAACATCTCCCACATCCTGATTGGTATCTTCATCATCTTCATTGTCATTTTCTTCATCCTGATTGGTTTCATCATCCTGATTGTCATTTTCTTCATCCTGATTGGTATCTTCATCATCCTGATTGGTATTATCTTCATCCTGGTTGGTATCTTCATCATCCTCATTGTCATTTTCTTCATCCTGATTGGTATCTTCATCATCCTGATTGGTATTATCTTCATCCTGGTTGGTATCTTCATCATCCTCATTGGCATTTTCTTCATCCTGATTGTCACCTTCTTCATCCTGATTCTCTTCATCTTCATCTTGATTCTCCTCAACGTCGTCCAGATTCTCCTCGGGTTCGTCCTGATTCTCCTCGAAATTGGCGTCTTGAAATCCCCGTGTACCCGAATCTACCTCGGGCAGGAGCACTATGGCCTGGGGCAATTCTGCGTCCCCATCAAACCGGGCAACTTCATCCGTAAGTGGGTGTTCTTCTGGGACAACCTCGTCCTCGCCTTCTTTCACACCCACCTGCACACAATAGGTCGATAAAGATAATAGTATGCATTTGTACCTCTGCAAGCCTTACATATTTATACACATACACGGATCCGTGTACAATGTTGTGCGTTTGAGAAGATAAGCTATATATAAATATAAAAATAATATGTATAT